TACAATATTCAATGCAGCTTGAAGTATTTCCACCATATGGAGAGTGAGAATTCAAAGTAAATTTATTATGCAACCTGGAAGTTTCAGGGGGTGTGACAACTCTCGAAACCCAGTAGGAACCATCTCGTGATCCTCATCAAGCTCTGGAAAATGGAGGAACAAAGATAGTAAAGTCGTTGATGAAGGATATAAAAGATATGACTTGAGTTTGAGTTCTTTTGCTATGTCTAATGCATCCATTGAGAAGAAATCAACAACTAGAGCAACAAGGTGATGGGTTAGAGAATCAAATGAGCTCAAAGCATGATGAAGAGATGGAAGAGAGAGTGTGACAGTGTTGTAAATTTGTGTTTCTGGGTCTTCAGCTTTGAGGTCTTCCATGTTGATTTGAGGAAGAATAGTGAAGTCTATTTGTGGTGGGACAGATTCAAAGATGGAAATCGTAGTTGGAGAAGGCGGGCCAAGTGTAGGGATGAAAAAGATGAAGTGGAAGTGAGGTTGACGAACAACGAGTCGTTTTGAGAATTCAATAAGTGGAAGGAGATGGCTAAAGCCAGGAGCTGGAACCATGGCTATGCAGGGACTCTTTCTCTCCATGGCAGAGTGATAGCATGGGAGCTTGGAAACTAGCCAGCAACAAGACCACACTCTCTTCTTAATGATGGATGGATTTTGGATTTTCTTTGATGGCTTTTTAGAAGATCTTTTTAGCTTTCCTTTTGTTCCCATTTATAAATAATTAAAAAAAGAATAATTCTTTCTGGTGACAAAAAAAGAATTTTTCTTCGTAGTAATATTGATTATGCATATTGTAAAATTCGGACTTTCTGAATAAAAACTAATCCACAATTAACAGTCAGTTGAGGGCTAAACGAAATACTAACCTTAGAAAATAATTTATAATTTAAAGTAATTTAGTAATTATAGAATTTGAAATGGATAAAAGTGATTTCAAAATTGTGGTTTTAGTTAATAATATTAGATTATTTTTGCCTAGAGATTGGCATGTTACGGTCAACAGAACAAATACAGAAACTTTAAGTCTGACTTATTATTTAGCTAAAACCTTTTACAGAGAGCAAGCTTTTATATCATTGATCAAACCCCTTTTTTAATCGAGAGAAGGAGATAGACTAGGAAAATTAGAGGCGGGCTGAAATCTTCCTCATAAGTAAAATAAATAAATAAACCTCACTCATGAAGATCCACCTTTTTAAAAAAATGAAGATTGATGAAGAATATAAAAATTAGTTTCCATCTCATGAGAAGCCTTGGCCAAGTAATCAATACTGAAAAGATTTTTCCTAGCCGTATTTTTGCCACTCCCTATGAATAATGTTCCTAACATCATCTGTGTGGTCAATGTGACGTACTTCTGAAACCTTGAGTTGCAGTTTATATATTCTTTAATTTTGCTCTTACTTAGTGAGGTGTGACACATGCTGAAAGTTTTATCTGTAAAAGAAAGGACAAAATATATGGGACCCTCATAAATTATTCATGAGTTGTGGCGGTCATACTCACAAATCTCTTTCGTTCTCTAGCACCTTTTCTGATTTCTTACAGTACTCTAGCATCACGAGTTGTTTGGTCTTCCCTTCGCCCACCCTTCGTTTCTGTTTCTTCAAAGGTATTTTTATTCTTGAAGTATGTCACGAAGAGTAATTGATATCTTTAAATACAAAAAAAAGCTATGTCCTTGAATGTGCCCTAACCCACTCTTTAAGATATTTTGAAGATTAGATTGAATGTTTTTCTATCATGCAGACTTTTCTTACCATAGTAGTGTTTTGTGAAATTTTATAATCATATTCATCTAGTTCTAAATATAAGACCCTTTTTAATAATATAATTTACATTACAAAAAAAGGTTTATATTTAGGACTGAAGGAGCAATTCATTTTCTATTTAATCATGATATTCTTTGAACATTGAGTTTTCTTTTCTTTTCTTTCTTTTCTTTTCTTTTCTTTTTTTTTGGTTTCCTTAGGTTTAAAGTCTTTATTAGTAGGGAGAAAGGAGGAGTTGGATGTGAACGGAGAGAGGTATTAAGATTTTTTTTTTTTTTTTGTGGAGTGCAGTGTATTGAACCCATCTAATCAGTCAACAAGATAATTGAAGACATGAGCAAGACGTGTTAAAATTGAAACCTACCTCCATGCTGGGGTCACCAATGGCGTGAAGGCTTGTAAGTTGTATGCCAATAATGGCCAGGCCATAACCTGCAAGACGAGTTAGTACAAAGATATTTTGGTTCTGTGAGGGAAAGATTCCAAACTCAATTCATAGTTGCTTTAATGAAGGAAATGGGGAAGACTAGAGTAACATAACAGCAATTTCAAAGATAGTCTGTGTGCTGAGAGATAGTTTTTGAAGAGCTCTCTTTGTTTATGAGAAGTATTCAACAAATAAAACAACGTAGAATTTCATAAACTCATCAAATAATAGGCAAGATTTCCTTGGATGGATAAAGCTAGAAGAAATCACCATTTCAGTCAGAAGTTGACATCAAACCTCGTAATGTTTTCCAAGATCAAGACTTTCTTCCAAAATGCGTGATTTTCGATCTGTCTAACCGTGTTTCAAGAATCAAAGCATAGGACCAATGGCCTATTACCACAAATAATTCCTGTACTCATATAAGCAACTCTCCTCCATGTAGAAATAATTGAGCACTGTCATTTTGGACAAATTTACATGTGGGTCCATCAGAAATTCCGTAGTACAGAGAGAAAACAATTAGAAGTTAAACAGTATATACTTTAGTAACTCTGTGAGGTAAAATTGCAATATTTTCAAGGGAAAATCACTAATAGCTCCCACAGAAGGCAATTTATTACTCTGAGGTCCCACGAAATGTCAAAATCACTGACAAGTCCCAAGGGACCTCAGAGTAATATTTTCATTTTATAAAATGACATTACTGCCCCTCATATTCTAGATTCACATTTGCTCTGTCATTACGATTTACAACCTCAGCAGCGACTATTAACAACCTAATGAGAGGCGTTAACAACCCTAGCAGTATCCGTTAACAACTTACTTTATAAATTATATAACCTCTACATAAGAGTAAATTATAACCAAATAATATAATACAACAACTTTAAACATTAAAATGGGAAGCTTTTTGATATCATTAAGAATTTTAACTAGATCCAATAGGATTATAGTAATATTTTAATGCGAAGATCCATTTACAACCTCAACAGTGACTATTAATAACCGAATGAGAAGGCATTAACAACCTAAGCAGTATCAGTTAACAACTTACTTTATAGAATATATAACCTCCGCATAAGAGTAAATTATAACTAAATAGTATAATACAACAACTTTAATACTAAAATGGAAAGCTTTTTGATATCATTAAGAATTTTAACTAAACCCAATAGGATTATAGCAACATTTTAATGCGAAGATCCATTTACAACCTCAATGGTGAGTATTAATAACCCAAAGAGAGCTGTTGACAATCTAAGCAGTATCTATTAACAATTGACTTTATAGGATAATATAACCTCTAACAACTATATAAGATTAACTTTAAGACTATTTAGTTATAGTTTAGTTAGTTATAGTTAGAAGTTATATTATCCGATAAAGTTAGTTGTTAACAGACACTGCTAAGGTTGTTAACAATTCTCCTTAGGTTATTAATACTTACTGTTGAGGTTGTAAATGGATTTTCGCATTAAAATGTTGCTATAATCCTATTGGGTTTGGTTAAAATTCTTAATGATATTAAAAAGCTTCCCATTTTAGTGTTAAAATTGTTGTATTATACTATTTGGTTATAATTTACTCTTACGCGGAGGTTATATAATTCTATAAAGTAAGTTGTTAACGGATACTGCTTAGGTTGTTAATGCCTTCTCATTCGGTTGTTAATAGTCGCTATTGAGGTTGTAAATGGATCTTCGCATTACAATATTACTATAATCCTATTGGATTTAGTTAAAATTCTTAATGATATCAAAAAGCTTCCCATTTTAGTGTTAAAGTTGTTGTATTATACTATTTGGTTATAATTTACTCTTATGCAAAGGTTATATAATTCTATAAAGTAAGTTGTTAACGGCTACTGCTTAGGTTGTTAATGCCCTCTCATTCGGTTGTTAATAATCGCTGTTGAGATTGTAAATGGATATTCGCATTAAAATATTACTATAATCCTATTGGATCTAGTTAAAATTCTTAATGATATCAAAAAGCTTCCCATTTTAGTGTTAAAGTTGTTGTATTATATTATTTGGTTATAATTTACTCTTATGTAGAGGTTATATAATTCTATAAAGTAAGTTGTTAACGGATACTGTTAGGGTTGTTAACGCCCTCTCATTAGGTTGTTAATAGTCGCTGCTGAGGTTGTAAATCGTAATGACAGAGCAAATGTGAATCTGGAATATGAGGGGCAGTAATGTCATTTTACAAAACGAAAATATTACTCTGAGGTCCCTTGGGACCTGTCAATGATTTTGACATTTCGTGGGACCTCAGAGTAATAAATTACCTTCTGTGGGACCTGTTAGTGATTTTCCCTATTTTCAAAGTAATTGCCACTGGCGACCGTGGGCCTCGTGGCCTAGGTTCTGATGCTTGAAGCTGGCCTCCGGGTTCCAAGCTCAGTTGCTGGAACCTTTTTTTTTTTTAAAGAAAAAAAAAAGTCAATTCTCACTTAAGTAAAAAGTCTTGCTCCAATGGGTTTCCTCAGGCAGGATGGCATTCAAGTCTTGAGTTAGTTCTGCAAAACCTTATCTGGTAGAAAAAGTACAAATACAAATCCAAGGAGGGGTAATCCTATTTCGGCTTACGGCAGCACAGAATAGACAAATTTTACATTTGCAACAACGCAGGAATCAATCAACAAAGTTTATGCTCAACTCACTGTGAACAAACTGGAGCAATGCCTCCTCCTTCTATATTTTGAATTCCAAGTTTGACTATGAGGAAGATTTTATCCACAGATAGGAAGTGTGGTTCCAGTCCCAACCTATGCTTCCTATCATGTTTTGCTGGCGTCAATTGTTTAAGCACCAGGGAGGATATAACCAATGCCGGTTTGACCAGAACGAGTAAGCACTTCGAACTCTCCAGCAGTAAAAGATTGATCTTCCTTGAAAATGGGTCGTTTAAGTTCCACATACGCACAGTAGTCTACTTCATATACTGTGGCATTCTTTAAGAAAGCAGCAAGAGCCACTCCAACTCCTTCCCCTGCAAAGAGCACAAATCAGTTACAATTCAAACTAGAACTCTTGCTGAAAAAAAGGAAGCTCATCTAGATGACTGATTTGCAAGTTCCAACACGCTCCCCCCCCCCGGGGAACAGTTACGATCTATCCCTAGTTAATTGGGTCAGTAATCAGTTTACCTCCTAGAGGCAGAAGTGTATTATTTAGGCCCCTATGGTATATTTAAACACCCTTTGGTATTCAGCTCTAATAGATAATCGTGTGTATGACAAAGCGGAGAACAATTAGATTGTCAAAAGGATATTCACTTATACATTGAATAGTTTCAGTCTTCTAAAGCCATGTAGGTGACATTTGGGAACAGAGTATGAGCATGGTCCTACTTTTAGTCTCACAACATTATAAAATGACTTCTAACACTCGAACTATTAATTCCTATTTAAGAATCACAAGAGTAAGGTACTCAAAACCTCAGTGTAACTAAATAATAACATAGATCAGAAGAGGGTTCAATCGCACACAAATTTAAAGCATAAGTGGAAAACAAATTTAGTGCCAAATTAAATGGGAGAGCAAACTATAATCCACCCTTTTTGTATTATTAAAATCTTCATTCCCATTGTAAATTCTGTAATGTAAGGGGAAAGGTAAGAAGAAATTTGTTCATCATCAAAAGGTGCCTTTTTTTCACTTTTTGTTGACAATCAAAAGGTGCCTTTGCCATACGCTGAACATAAAAGAAATTAAAACCTTACCATGTGTGACAAGCAGCAAGTTCTCGGTATGATAATTATATGCAAGTTCCTTAATCACTTGCTCATATCTAGCTCTTGTACCCAAAACTGGCTCTTCCCATTTGGGCAACTGGTGTTTATCAGGCAAAAATTCCATCAGTCACAATTAAAATCTGTAATTGCATAAACAAGTAGCAGCCAAAAAATTCTGAGTTGAAAAATATCTAGTCCTCAAGCTGTACCTCTTTATACATCTTTTTTGCATTCTTATCAACTGTTCCAGCTGGGAGAATTGCTTCACGCTCTGCAATATCAAAACCCCAATTACCATCCTTAGGAGCCAATGCAGGACTGATAGCTTCTCTGCTCATCATCTCGCACAATCCAAGTTCAACAGAGACCTAAAGTTGGTTAAGACCAAAAAGAGAATAACTTTAGCACCTTATGGCACCAGAAATTAGTACTCGCATCATAAGCATATAAAATAAAGACACTGGACTGGAATGATGACATCGAGACTCTTCAATTCTACATATTCATCAAACCCATTTTCTATGACGTATCCAAGCACATTTAATCATGAAGCCAAGTCTGAAATGTTACCTGAGTATGTACAAGTATTTCACACACATATATATAAATCATAGTAATCTATTAGAATGCAACAACCAATCAGAGGTAAACTGTGTACGAGCACTTTCTAATCAGAATCTGGAGTTTCTCTATCTAATTAATCATCTAGCGGTCACTGCAAGAACAATCCTGGAAAACCAGTGGCCAGGCAGTTCATGGCATTGTGGTGAACTCAAATTTACACTCTTGTGTTGTAGGTGGAAGAAACAGAAATCTCTGCAGTGCCATCTAGGCCTCTAGGGTCACTTCATCATAAATTCATCACTTTGTGAATATTTTCTTCAAAGAGCATCGTTTATGAAGAAAAAGTGAGCTAGAAATCAAGGGATGTCATCCTTGCTCAACCCACAACGTGGAGACTGAAGGTTCACTGAACCTCTTTCCCGAACTAGTAGTAAATACATAATTGCAATGCCATTTTCAGATAAAAACTCATAAATCAGAATATAGCATAGCTTAAGTCCCAACAGATAATGTGTAAATTACTTTTAACATATGCGAGACAAAAGGAAAACCTTCAACAACAAATGACTAAGAAAGATCATGATAATACCCATAAGCCAACAAACTCGCAGTGTCTCTACTGTAGTTTAAGTTCATGATATTTCCGACTTGTTTGCTCTCAAATTTCAGAAAACTCAGACTATTTCTGAAATTTCCTTGGCAAATAACTTCGGCTTATCTTATAACCCAAGAGTTAGATTTTAAGCATGGTAAAATCCCCAGAACACTGTTCTAGCAAAAGCCATTACTTTTTGTTACTGGTGCTTCTGTAAGCATGTTCAGAAATGCTTATAGTCGTAAATCCTATTTCAGTACTCAGAGAGAAGATTCCTTCACAAAGTCACAAGAAAAGGACCAAAGGATATATCTGTTTATTGCCACATCTAATGGCAATGGAGACACGTTACTTTTGCAGCATTTTCTAAGATAAGCAAAGAAGTATTAACACTGACATAGATCGTTGAACACAATATAAACAACACCACATAACAAGACATCAAGCAAGTATTTTATCTTCTCTTTGCTTAATGAGTCAATTAACTGTAAGGAAGATTTCACCTAGCTAGCCACTAGCAAAAAAGAACTATTCTAATATGAACGTATATTAAATGCCTTTCCTGAAACTTCAAGGTTATGTTTGGTGTCTTCAAAAGATTTTTAAGGGCATGGAATGAAAAGGAGTATAAAAAGATAGGGTTCAGTATGCATGAAAATCGGAGGTGAACATTTATTTTAATGATGTTTGGTATAATAAAAACGGAAGAGGATTGGATATGAACAAATGGAAAAAGACAGAACTGTTTTTCACAAAATATAACAAGTGCAGGAATTCATTGGGGCAATTTTGGAACTTTATATCGGTTTTGTTAAACAGTAGCATTCCCTCAAATTTTTTGACGGAATGATGATATTATGACTTCTGGAACCCATAATAATAAGAGAAAATGTTATTAATGCATTCCAAGCACAGTTAAATTGATTCCATTGACTTTGCAAAGTTGATTAAACTCATAAATTACTTTAGGTAGAGAATTAAGTATAAATCCTTTAAATCGATGACCAAAAAAAAAACTCCTTTAAATCATAGTAGGAAGAAAAACCGTTTAAATCCTGTATGCAAGAATCTAGAATGCCATTCTATTTTTATCCTTCTATAATTTAAAAAACAGATGTGGGGGAGAGAGAGGACATGACGACTTGACTTGATGAGTTACATGTTTGTCACCTTCCAAAAGTTAAATGCGTGGACCAATTATTAACAACCAACCTCTAATACAATTTAACCAAAAAACTAATTTCCCAAAGAAAACATAACCTTGACTTTAGAAGAATCGATAGCTAAGCCATCGCCGGTGAGGATAGTGGGATCGTCGTGGGGGACGCAGAGAGCAGAAATGACCTCAGATGCCGTCTGGATGCAGCGAAGGAAGGGGGAGACGAAGACGCGATCGATTGGATACCCGAGACAGTGGCGGAACTTCCGACCCGTATTGAAAGCCCGAACCCGTCCATCATGGGTCAGGGGCGGATCCCAAGGCCGAGCTGCCGTGGTTACCCAGTGAGGATCGAAGTTATCGATACGGTCACCGTGCCTCATGACGACGACGTTTTGGTAGAAATCTGGACGCTTGTGGGGAATTTCCTTGGAACCCATTTCTACAGAATATACAGATAAGAAGGAAGAGATCGTAAATGTAACTTTATTGAAGATGGATAGTTGGGTTGGATCGATGAGAAAGGGAAGGAAGTTTAACGGGATGGTGATTGCCTGATTGGTGGGTTGGTTACTTGAAGAATAGTGATAGTAATTGGGGGCGCAAACTGAATCCAAAACAGAAAGCTCCCAGTAACTGTTTTTCTTTTAAAAAAATTTTGGTACAAAACAATTTTTTTATTAAAATAAGATAAATCCCATAACTAATTAATTAATTAATCATTCTTTTTTTGTTCAGTCAACTAATTAATCATTATGGTCAAAAAGAATTAAGCAATTAATCATGAAGATGGCTTTCAGCGTCCTAGACTTGCAGTATATTGTTCACCTCTCCTCATGTCGATCGGATTAGTATTGGAAGTTCATGTTTAGCCTTGACCTCAGTTAATATTCCCGGCAATTATTTTTTTTGCAGAATACAAATAATAAAATTATGTGGATTAAAAGTTATAGTTAAAATTGGTTAAAAATATGTAAAAAAATAATAATTTATTTTTCATAAATATTTTTATATATAAAGTGAAGGAGTGAGTGGGTAAAAGAGGGAATGATTAATACAATGAGAGTAACTAATAATTAATAGGAGTAAAAATTAAAAATAACATTAAAAATTTTAAACAGAGTATTATAAATAGAAAAAAACATCTTTTAAAAAAAAGGAATGGAGAGAGTTTAAAAAAATCTAAAACAATCAACGATTTGCAGAAGTCCCTTTTAGCTATTTGGATTTACAACCATGTCATATTATATTTACAATAATCACTTTATTTGAAATTTACAGACGAAAGCATCGTGGGTATAGTTTGTAGGGAGCATCACTTGAAATCTAAAAATATATATAATTCTTAAAAAAAATCTCTTAATAAGTGAATAAGATGCAATGACAATTTTTGATAAAGAAAGTGGCAAAAACTCATATTATTCGCTTATTATTGAAATTTTTTAGTAATTTATATTCTTTTTTTAAAACCTCATAATAACTTTCCCTTATTTATATCGATTTTTGTGTATCGCTACTCAATTAAAGTTTATAATTTAATTAGAGCAAATTCGACATTGTTCTTTTAAAATTTATTAATTATTTGCCTTTGTTTTTTGTAAGAATTATTTGCCTTTTTGAAATGAAAAGAACCCATATTGTAAAACCCACCAACTTTGTAGATCTATGATAGGTTGGGTTGATAAAATCCTAATCCATCAAAGAGTAGGATGGATCATATTCTTTTTCTCAATCCTTGGTGGGCCATTTTAGATGGTTTGGATTGGGCCACATTTCAATTACAATTTAAGTCGGCAAAAAATATATTCTATTGATAATTTACAGTTCCCAATCAATTCTTCGCTAGTGATCAAAATGAAGAGGGCAGAAGTATAATGGCAAATGTGTAACAGATTAACACACAAGCTTATGAACCACTTGATCAACCACCAACAACAAACACAAAAGGTTTGGTTTCATTGGTCGACACACAAACAGGGGAGATTAACACACAAGCTTATTAACCACTTGGTCAACCACCAATGACAGACCAAAACCATTCACCAAATCAACAAATAAACAGGTAAACACACAAATTAATAGGCAGACACTTTAGCGATTCCACCAAAAAAAGCAAGAGAAAAAAGAAATTCTGCCAACCTGTACCAGATCAATGAGAATGAAGGCTAATAGAGATAGATCAGAGTGTATTCCACTAGGAGGCTAAGATCTCCATGCACAACTCACATGCACCAGTCAGATGGTGGTGACCAAGGCTTGGAGACGACAACTGCAGATCGGACAAGGCAAAAAGGTTTGGAGAAGAGATGACCCAACACGAGACAACCCTCACAACGAAGAGCGAATAGAACTGACAGAGGAGGGGTGAGGGAGCTAAGGAGGAGGAGGCGACGGAGCAAGCTCTGTCCAGCGGTGACACTTTTGAGCGTATGAGGAATGAGTGGTTTGAGTGAATATGAGAGAATAATAAGGGAGGAGTGAGAGAAAACTAAGATGACATCTAATTATTATTCTAACGGTCTACCAACCATAAGCACAATTTTCACTTCAAAAAACCATCTCAAATTAACTTAACATATTGTGCGTTTTAATCTAGCTTTTGGTCCCCAAGTAAGATGGTTCAAAAGCTCTCCCAAGCGAACTCCAATTTTCCAAATGAACTTATGGTGAAATAAGCTACTTCTGAGCTACCAATCAGTGACCCAAATGGGTTGAATATGGTATGTGCCAATGATAGTCTCTTAATTAGAGGGAATACGAGGAAATATTACTTCTGTTTTAAAAGAGAAAACGCACATGCACGCAAAAACTCTCATAGTCTCTTAATTTGTTAAAATTAATAACTATAATAAATTTGCAATTTCCCATATTATAATTTAAAAACCACATATTGCTCTTAATTATCTTCCCTACTTTGCTAAAAATGTCATTTTTTTTTAAAATATTTGTGTTTGGTTGGTTATTAATACATTAACATATATATATATATATATATATGTTGTGGGAAAAAAAAGAAGATAGAAGAATACTTATTTTTTAGTATTTCTTACTATTTTAAAAAATAAGTAAATTACGATAAAGATTATGGAGTTAACCAACAAAGCCTGGCACAGTTGGTAGATAGCTGGGTCCCTTAAACATGATGTCCTGGGTTCAGACCAGGACGTGTGCATGGAAAAGGCTTTGTTGGGAGAGGCAAAACCCATTTCGGTGATCTCTACGCCTCAGGAGGATTAGTCTCTGGCTATCGGCTAGGGGATACCACCTGGTTTCTAAAAAAAAGATTATGGAGTAAAAATATCAATATATTTTTTATTTTGATGTTAAAATTTTAAAATAAATTAAGGTATTTTAAAAATATCAATTAACTTTTATTTTTTGTTCATTATATACTAGTGATAGGGAAAAATGATACATTTGACCATAAATATGATTGTGTCACATTATAAATCTAACGCTGGCCAAAAAAAAAAAAACATTGTAAATCTAATACTCAACCAAAAACGGGAGAAATGCAAATTACTATTTGGAATTAAATAAACTACTGTTAAATATTTAATAATTTTGGATGGCCACCACCTAAAATGTATCAAAGGGAATCCCATATATAAACAGTAAATATTCCCACCAACCAGACAAAATAGCATAGTGATTTAACTTTAACTTTAACTAATTTAATTATTTTATTCCCTCTTCATGGGCCATAATTTTTTTAAAAAATTATAGTTATTTAAATTTAACTAATTTAATTATTTAAATTTAACTAATAATTAAATAACTTGGATTTTTTCTGGCCAAAGCTCCTGGTTGGGGAGAAAGAAAAAGAAAAGAAAAAGAAAAAAAAAGAAGTAGCTTGCCGGGTGGGAGAATCTCTCCCTGGAAGTTGATCTATGTTACGTGATACTGACATGCGGATCCTCTCCTCATCTTTTTTCTCTTTTATTTTTCTCCTATCTCTTCTCTACCATTGGAAGTGAGGTTGACGAACGGCGAGTCGTTTTGAGAATTATATAAGTGGAAGGAGATGGCTAAAGCCTGGAGCTGGAATCATGGCTATGCAAGGCTTCTTTCCCTCCATGGAAGGGTGATATTGGAAGCTTGGGAAACTGGCGATGGATTTCTATTGAGGGCTTTTTATAGGATTTTTCTTTTTGATGATGCCTGTTCAAAGTTTTACCCATATAAAATTAGAAAAAATATATGGGACCCACAGAAATCAATGATAAGAAGTGTCATCCCCTTAAATCCCTGGCTATCTTGTCCCCCGTTTTCTACAATACTTTCTCATCAAGGTCTTTTTGTCTTTTTGTTCCCCACAGGCCGTTTCCGTTTTTAGATGAAGGTATTTTATTTCATGAGAAACGATTGATATCCTTGAGTTTCAAAGAACATTAAAATATGTTGATTGGACCCGCAAAACGTCAACATGCGGCAATGTGGCATGCCTACGCGGAAGATGTCTTGGGTCAAAGGTGAATACCGCTTTATAAGTTTAATTCTTGATATATAAGTTAGATAATTAATTTAAAATTATTAAAAAATTAGTTAAGTTAGTTATTTATAATAAGTATATGTTGACTTCTTTTAAATTATTGCATTTAATTATATACATTAAAACCACTACTGAATGAGAAATAAATATTGTTAATAGAGATATTTTAAGAAAAGACTGGCAAAATAGATTGAAATATTATATATAAGATTAAATTTAATCTTCCATTATCTCATATATCAGAATTGTTGGAGGTTGTGGTGAAGTTAGTAAAGTTAGGAATGTTTTGAACCAAATGGCTTATGGAAAAATTATTATGCTAGTCTTAGAATGTGCCCTAACCCACTCTCACGCAATTAAGTTGAATTTTTCCCATCCTGGTATGGTGCACTTCTGAAAATCTGTAATCATGATCGTTTTCTATTCGACCATGGTTAGAATTTAAATATTGAGTTGTTTTTTTCCTTTTCTATTATATTTGACGTTTCAAAATTGATTTTCAAACTTTGTACCATGCGAATCATTGTTCTTTGAGTTTTTAAATCTTTTTTTATTGGCATAATAAAGTACTTAAATAAATTATGACCAAAAAAAAAAGTACTTAAATAAATTATTCATACATCGTTTTGGGAGGGAGAAGATTGATGTGGATGAAGAGGGTAGCAGAAAAGGCAAAGGAAGGAGGGACGGCCATGACGAAGGAACGTCGGCGAGCTCGACGCCGGCAATATCAAACAAGATTATTAGTCGGAATATGGATTTCATTTGGATTTGGGTCCTCTCAAAATCTTTTTTCTCCTTATCCTTTCAGAATTCTTTCTAATTCGTTAGGTCAACACATGGTAGTTTAGATATAATATCTTATAAGATATTATTAAAATATAAATAAATAAATTTAAAAATATTTTGATAATAGCCTTATAAAATATTGCATGTCAACCGTCCATTGTTTTGATCGAAAGGTTGAGAGGAGATTTTTGAGAAGAAAAGAAGAAAGAAAATTACATAGGTCCAATACAATATAATGTAGCCGCAACGGAAGTCAGTCGGCATTTTAAGTCCACTATGCAGATGGCTCATTTATATAATGGACCCATTATTGAAACCACCAAAATGATCATTAAAAAAAAAAAAAAG